AACAGTCGAACCCATTTGGCATTAGTTATATGACATAAGTATAATGTAATAGTTTGAAGAGTTGTTTCTATGGTTTTGTTTTGTTATTTTTGTTAAATTATAAGAATACGGTAAACTTTGAGATTTGTTTAAAAAAATATTTTCATACATTCAACCGTTGCAATTGTGAGATTTTATGTCGATTGGGAGGAAAACAAAGCATTTATGGTATAGAAATCTCTCCCTAACATATGTCTTTTAAAATTTTGAGGAGAAACCCTCGAAGAGAAAGTCCAAAGATGACAATATCGACTAACAGTAAGGTCAGACTGTTACAAATGATATTAGAGCTAGATATTGGTCGATATGCCAACGAGGATGCTAGGACTCAGTTGGAGAGGGGAACTAAACATCTCAAAATTAGTATCATTTAATATTTATAAACATCTCAAAATTAGTATATAAAGTTTTTAGCGAAAATTAAGATTAAAACTCGTGCAATAATAACCTAAAATGTAGACGTCACACTTTTCTACTTATAAGAATATCGTGGACTCCGAAGGGTAAAATTGGTTGAAAATGGGTCGAGATTTTGGAACGAAGAGATAAGAAAGAGGTGGTGAAGTCTTGTTGTGGTGATGGAAAGCTATGGATGCTTCACCGCTAAAATTTGGTTAAAGTAAGCCCTTTTGAAAAGCATTTGTGGAAGAAATTGAAGAATTTTGGTTGTTCTAAAACAACCTTAATACCTTCATTAATTCACTCTTCTTTGCTTGAAAGTATATTAATTTCATTACAACTATGAGTACTCATTTGGCAATGGATTTGTTTATTTGCCTCCAACCTACCATTATCTTTATCAACTTAAACCTAACTTTTCAATATACCAACAATTTCATAATTTTTTTTTTTTTTTTTATATATTTCGTCGAACAAATTAAAGTTTGATCGTTTAGAAACTTAATCTCTAAAGTGTCATCCTACCCGTTGTTGATGTAATGCTCCATGTTTAAGATTCATATTAGAATCTGAAATTCGGATTCAGCATCTCTATCCCTAGAGACCACTGAAAAGGAAGGTATACTTTATTAGTATGAGTAGTAACCTCAATTCTTTTAACATTTTCTCGATAATCCTATTATCAAGATTATTTTCATTCGGATGTGAGATCAGTTCATTCATTTACCCCTTCTTTACTTGAGCGTCACGGTTGAATTTAAAAACATTTTTCTTTCTTTTGGAGGTTTCTCGGCCATATACTTATTCATGTATCATATAATCTAGAAATTGAAGACTAAATTAGAGGTTGCTTGGAATGGAAATAATATTGTCAAAAACATTGGCTGTCATCTATTAAGTGACCATTGATATTGACGTGACAAATTTATTGTTTGATTTTTTGGACATCTCCGTGACCTATTTTCAAATCATTTATCATGTTTTATTTTTTTTAGATTTAATCCAATAATTATTATTATTTTCTTAAAGGCCCAATAAATAAAGCCCAGCAAAGAGTCAACATATTCTAAAAGCCCAATAAAGGAAGCCCAAATCTTCAAACTTGGTTGGGTGAACGTGTTCTTCAAGGTCCAATAAAGGAAGCTTAAATCTTCAAACTTGTTTGGGTGAACGTGTTCTAAAGGCCCAATAAAGGAAGCCCAAATCTCCAAACTTGGTTGGGTAAACGTGTTCTTCAAGGCCCAATAAAGGAAGCCCAAATCTTCGAACTTTGTTGGGCGAACGCTTCCGCTGTTCGGTGTAATCATCTGGAGGAGCGAAGGGAAAACACAGGCGGAAGAGAAACAACACAGGCGGAAGAGAAACAACACAAGCCAGCCGGTGAGATTTGATTATGAACTGAAGAGGAATGAGGGTTTAATCCGCATATCCGTCATCTATGGTACGTAAATCATTCTGGGTTTATTAACTAGAGCTCAATTCAGCTTCAAGACCACTAAATCATTCTGTTTCTCATGAACGTAAATGATTGTCATGTCTGCAAATGAGTGTCATTAATAGATTTAAGGTTTGGTTTGCGCCGTGGATTCCATGTTAGTCTCGAGAATTTTGATATTGTATTAGAATTTTTAGCTACCCGTCGGCAATGGCATCCATACCGTCGAAAAACGTATGGATTCGACGGCAGCAATGCCCTTGTGGGGATTGGAAATGTTATGTTTCATGTGAAGGAGAAGGCGAAGAAACTTCTGTCGCAGCCGAGTTAGTTAAGTCCGAAAGGGTGTCATCTGAAGCTATGGTTTCCCCTTATGTGGGAATGGTGTTTAAGAATGACACTGATGCGTTTGAGTATTATGGGAATTTCGCTAGGAGAAATGGGTTTTCGATTAGGAAAGAGCGATCTAGACTTAGCCCGCAATTGGGTGTTTATAAACGAGACTTTGTATGTTATCGTTCGGGATTTGCACCTGCAAAGAAGAAACCCATTGGGGAGAATCATAGAGATAGGAAATCGGTGCGTTGTGGGTGTGATGCTAAGATGTATTTGTCAAAGGAAGTCAGTGAAGGAGTTGCACAATGGTTTGTAGTGCAATTCAGCAATGTACATAACCATGAACTTCTTGAAGATGACCAAGTTCGCCTCCTTCCTGCGTATCGAAAAATTCACGAGGCCGACCAAGAGCGCATACTTCTGCTTTCAAAAGCTGGGTTTCCCATTCATCGGATAGTGAAGGTATTGGAATTGGAAAAGGGCATTCATGGTGGTCAATTGCCTTTTTTGGAGAGAGATGTTAGAAACTTCGTTCAAAACCGTAAGAAGATTGTTCAAGAACACGATGCGCTGCTAAACGAAAAACGGGAAATTGATACAATAGAGCTTCTAGAGGCTTGCAAAGCCACGAAAGAATCAGATGAAGAGTTTGTTTATGACTTCACAGTTGATGCAAATGATAAGGTTGAACATGTTGCTTGGTCATATGGGGACTCTGTTAATGCTTATGACATGTTTGGGGATGTTGTCTATTTTGACACTACTTATTCATCAATCACATATGGGTTACTATTGGGAGTGTGGCTTGGCATTGATAACCATGGTAGGACTATTTTCTTTGGTTGTGTTTTGTTGCAAGATGAAACGCCTCGTTCGTTGGCTTGGGCTTTTCAGGTATATAGTATATTTCTCTCTTTGTTGTTCTTTTTCGTATTAGTTTATGAAAATCTGAGCGTTCGTACATCTTCACCGTAAAATTACAGACCTTTATTCGTTTCATGAGAGGCACACTCCCGCAGACAATTTTGACTGATCTTGATCCAGGGCTTAGAGATGCAATAAGAAGTGAATTACCTGGCACAAAGCACGTAATTTCGAGATGGAATATTTTGTCAAAGGTATCTAGTTGGTTTTCTCTTTATCTCGGACCTCGTTATGCAGAGTTCAAATCCGAATTTGATTTGCTGTATTCTGTGGAGAGTTCAGAGGATTTTGAAATTCGATGGGATCAAATGGTATCGATGTTTGGTCTCGTTTCAGACAAGCACCTCGATTTACTATTTTCATTTCGGGAATACTGGGTACCATCGTGCATTAGAGGTTGTCTTTTAGCTCAAATGGCAACATCAGCCTATTTCAAGGCTGTCGATACGTTCTTGAAAGGAGTTTTTAATGCACAGACGTGTTTGCGTAGCTTTTTCGAGCAGGTAACTTTCTGGGAAATCAAATACTTTCTTTGTTTGATTTTACAGCCCTCGGATTCGTCATTTCTGTTCTTTCAATTTCGTTCAGGTTGGTATTTCAGCCAACTTCCAAAGCCATGAGCATCAGGAGATGCAATATTTGCAATTAAAGACGAATATACCGATCGAAGAACATGCACGAAGCATCCTCACCCCTTTTGCCTTCAATGCTTTACAGCATGAATTAGTGTTGGCCATGCAGTATGCTGCATCTGAAATGGCGGATGGATCATATCTCATACACCACTTCAAGAAGATGGATGGAGAGCGTCTTGTGATGTGGATTGAAGACAGCGAACAGATTCACTGCTCTTGTAAGGAGTTTGAATCCTCAGGCATGCTATGCAGACATGCTTTGCGCATATTCATTATAAAGAATTACTTTCAGCTTCCTGATAAATATTATTTAAGTAGATGGAGGCGGGAAAGCTCTCTAGCCTTAAGTGATGGTCACGGTATCGAGAGTAACGATGGGCATTGGTTTCATGAATATCAACGCCTTACCGAGACTCTTTTTGCCGAATCTTCCATTACCAAGGAACGTAGTGAGCATGTCCATAGGGAACTGATGAAAGAGATCACAAGACTTCTTAACGAGATTAGGAGAATGCCTGAGAGTGACGGGGTTGCAGCTATGGATTTGACAGAATCACCAAATGGTTAATGCTTCTGCTAAGGGATTGGTATGAATTCGACATTCTCCCGAACTGATTGTTCTTTATCTGACTTCCTTTCATAGCTGTCTGCAATGGAGACAGACGAAGGAGACAGATGAAGGAGGACGAACTCACACAATGTAATATTAAGGAAGGAAGAGAACTGCATGCTTGGAATTGTAATGGTTGTACAGGCTGTTGACTCAATAAGAATGCACCTGGCTCGTGGCTAGAATATCTAAGAGATGTAAAGTTATCGATCGAGGCGGTTCAAAGCTGAATGTTATCAAAAGCATCTGGAAAATTCGGTATGAATAATTTTGATTCAAAGCGAATGATTTATTTACATCTCAGCATATATGAACTTACACTGACCAATCTTGGCTAATTCATAGAACTTGTACTGAATGTTTTGGTCATAGTTAGATGAATAGGGTAACATTGTTTCTTGAATGAGTACTCATAAAATGGGCGTTGGTTTATATCAGATAGTTCTATCTATTTAGTACTCATAACACATTGATATCTTTGTTCTCTCTCTTTATTATACAGAAAACGTATGGAGATCATATTCTATTAAACAGATACAGATTATGTTTTAAACAGATACCCACATCGTACGTTCGTTCGTTCGTCCCGAGTATTAATACTGATCAGGCCATAGAAATGCACCCATTGCAAAGGCCCTCTTCTCCTCCAAACTGCCTTGAAAGCTCAAGCCATATTCCTTGAGAAGCTGATCCACCTTCCACTCCTCCATCTTCTGGTAATCTGCCTTGGTGTAGTGAGGGTAATGAAGAGGCATTTGAAACCCAGAAGAAGTGCATATTTCTTCACAACCCTTTTCCCCTTTTGAGCTCCTTTCTTCGCCATAGCCATGGACCTCATGATTTGGATTCCCGAGAAGACGAGCTGCTGAATAAAGTAGCCATCCTAAAGCCATGGCTACAGATCTCTTTCAGAGGAAGACGATTTGAAGTTAAGAGGCAAGAGGCTGTGAAAGGAAAGCAACCATATTTATAGGTAGGGGAAGACGAAAGAAACTTATAAAACTATGCTGGTTTTGTGCAGGGAAATTGGCATTAATTAATGGTTGGCTTTGTTTGGAAGGATGGGAATGGCTCTGATGATTTCGTGAAGTAGTTTTGCATTGGAGATGGAGGGGGATGATTGAGAAGGGAGTTGCGTACTGAGATGCAAAGTGCCACGTCATTGCTGAATAATGGGAAGTGGGGCCTGTTGTTCAAGATTGCGAAGAAATTAAGGTTAGCCGTTTTGTTTTTACAGAAAAAGTTAGGGAGTTGTTGAAGGAATTAAGGTTGTGGGAAGAGTTCAACTTGGTCTCGAACATTATTAAAAGATTCAAAATATTTAAAGTGAAAAATAATATTTTTAATAATTTAGCTCATTTTAAAAAATGCAACTAATGTCCAACTACTAAAGATTCTGCCCATATTTCGATTGGCCCTCAAATCAGACACAGACAACTACATAAATAACGCCGCACATCATAGCCGACATCCCCTGCTTTTGGCGGCGGCTCTATGGACCGAAAAAGAACAACCTTTCCTCTTTCCCACCACTCTCCCTCTGTGAATTTCATCACCCAGTTTAAGGAACACAGCTCTTCATATGGCTGCTAGACCTTTGACGCCAATAATGGCGGACACCCTCAGCTCACTCTGCTTTTATAAGTAGCCCTCCAGGTTTAGCAGATGAAGACGGAGCCTCTGTTTTTAATTCCATTTTGTTCACACGTGTGCTCACTCCACTGATTTGGTCTTCCCTTTCAAAAACGTCATTCTACACTCCAATCTCTTTGCACATGCTTTTACATACACCCCTTTTGAAGCTATTTCAGAAAGAAAGTGAACAGCCATGAACGACGGTGCTTTTCGCAGTTTTTTCCTCTGTTTTTCCCTGTTTCTTGGTAATTCTTCTGTTCTTTTAGTGGATCTTCTTCCCCATGTCATTTAAATTTATACCCAACCAGTTTTACTGTCTTTTGATTTGGAATATTCAGCGTTCAAGTTGGTTCGTTTGAGTGTTGTTCAGGCAGCTGCAAGAGAAAAAAACAGTGGAATTTCTTGGATGTCGCTTCAGTCTTCTAAAACTGGTAAGAAACTCAATGTTACAATTGTTCATCAGTTCTTTACTTATAAACCATGAATCTTATTCTAAATAGGTCGGGGGATGAATCGGGTTGGTTCAGAATGTTCAAAAGACGAGGTGGTCGTGTTTCAAGGGCAAACAGCTCCACTTCCAGATGGGATTCCATCGTTCATAGTTCAGATCTTAAATTCATGTTCTTCAGGCTGCAGCATCTCTAACATTCACATGAAATGTGGTTGGTTTAGCTCAGCCAGATTGGTGAATCCAAGAATTTTCCGGCGAGTCAAGTATGATGACTGCCTTATCAACGACGGCAAGGCTCTTGGTCCTGGACAAACTCTGTCATTTCAATATGCTAACACTTTTCCTTACCCTCTTTCTGTATCTTCTGTAACTTGTTCTTCTTGACCTAACAAGCCTATGAACAGATAGCCCTTGTGGACCTTATGAATTGTGTATGATCCTTTAGTTTTCTAAGAACTTCTCACATTATATCATTTGATCAACTTTCTGTGTACAATCTGTTATAATCTTCTGTCAATTCGATGATATTTGAGTAAAGAACAAGTCATTCCATTATTACAAGTTCATCACAACAAGTCATTCATTTATAAAAAGTTACTTATAAAAGTTAGATTATTGTAACCATCATTTATTGTTAGAATTTGCGTATCACGCCAGCATTGATCTTCGATCTCTCTCCAAATGCTGACCACTTTTCACAAGTTTTCTCCTTGTGAGATCACACATCGGTTGGGGAGAAGAAGGGTGTGAAAACTTCTCCCTAGCAGATGCGTTTAAATAAACCTTGAGGGGAAGCTCGAAAGGGTCGGGAAAGTCCAAATAAGACAATATCTGCCAGAGGGTTTAGGCTTTGGTATCAGAGCCAAACACTGGGTGACATGCCAGCGAGGAAGCTGAGCCCCGAAAGGGGTGGACACGAGGTGGTGTGCCAGCAAAGATGCTGGCCTCGAAGGAAGGTGGATTGGGGAGTTCCACCTCGATTGGAGAAGAGAACGAGTGTCTGTGAGGACGCTAGACCCCGAAGGTAATGGATTGTGAGATCCCACATCGGTTGGAGAGGAGAACAAAACATTATTTATAAGGGTGTGAAAACCGAGAGAGAAAGCCTAAGATCCCACATCGGTTTGGGAGGAGAACGAAGCATCCTTTGTAAGGGTGTAGAAACCGAAAGGGAAAGCATCCTTTATAGGGCCATTACACTCCTACTCGAGCCTTTTTAACCTTGAAGTGTCAAGCTTCTCTTCAGCCATAAGTTTAAGGAGGTATGTAAGATATGGTTTAGTGGGTGGCGGCCAAATTAGTTCAGCCATGAATGATTTGATTCCTGGGATTTCTCAAACATATTGCATACTAAGGCTGCATTGAGAAAATGAATCATATATTCTTAGGATAAAAGAAAGTAACCAAGCTACCCGTTGAAACCTTCAATATCATTGCAGACACAATGGAAACAACCTTAAATTTAGCACAATACAACGTAAGATATTGATTTGATGGGTCAATAGGCATAATCATAAGAAAACTCATTGACGCCAACCATAGCAGATAGAACTTGAGAAATAACGAAAATGGCACCCCCAAAAATAGCCAAAACAAGAACAGCAGTAATGGGGTTCTTCAGCAGCTCGAATATGGGAAGAAGAATAGTGTAAAGAGCACCCGAACTTACAGTGACAGCGTAAATTGCGTATCTTCTTACGTTGTCCCAGAATTCCTCCACCAACGGCCCTTCAGGCCCCAAAGCCAGAGCCCTATCGCCATCGCAACCCATCAGAAACAGAGCAACGCCCACCGAGACAGCTCCGATGATCAGAAACCTAGAGTTCCCAATTGGGGTTTCGTCGATTATCTTGAAATCCAACGGCTGAGGAGTTTTTAAGGGTTTGGCGGGGGATTGCGGCGGCGCAGAGGCTGCGAGAGGCCGGAAAGAGCCTCTGAGAGGGGAAGTGGCCTTGATTGGAAATGGAGGAGGAGAAACAGAGGGGTTTTTGAAAGTGGGGGAGATTGGGACGTGGTGGATTCGGGATCTGAAAGAGGTGGCCATTGTTGGGGAGATTATGGATGGAGATGAAGCTCAGGCCATTGTGGTTGGAACTTGGAAGAAGAGATATTATCCAGAGGGGATTAAATTATGTGGATAATGTAGGATTAGTGTGTTAATAATATGGTAAATTAAGATTAAGAACCGATTATTTTGGAACTAATATTTGGATAAGTGGAGCTGTACGAAGCTATTTTTCAAAATAAAATAAATTGGGCTCGTGACAGGTAAGGCCCAATATTTTAATGGGCTCGTGACAGGTAAGGCCCAATATGTTAATGGGCTCGTGACTTACAGCAGCCTGTAGGGAAATTGGAGGGAATGTACACAGTTCCAACATTTTTATAAATTCAATGATATTTGACATTGGAAAATATAATATAATGTTAAATATAATTTCAAAAATTCAAATTTCGATATTATTATTATAAAGTCTCCAACCAAACTACGCACGCTTTTGGTTTTGTTCTCCTTGGATTTTCGCTCAAGATTTTTAAAATTTATTTGTTAGCGGGAGATCTCTACACCTTTATAAATAATGTTTCGTTCTCATCTCCAACCAATGTAGAATCTCACAACACATTTGATACAAATCGTATCAGAGTAAGACACAGAGTGAGCGAGTGAGCGAGGACGTTGGCCCCCAAAAGGGGAGTAATGTAAGATCCCACATCAATTGAAGAGGGAAACGAAGAATTCCTTATAAAGCGTGGAAACTTTTCCCTAATAGATGCGTTTTAAAACCGTGAGGCTAACGGTGATACGTTATAGGTCAAAGTGAATAATATCCACTAGTTAACATTTTTTTTTATCAAGACAACCAGACCAACCTGAAACAAGGGTTATAATCCAACCCTACTTTTAAAAAGATTAAGAATTGTAATCTAATGTTAGCGACGAGTTGATATTTGAACTTTATGAGATTTTTGATACTGCCCAAACTACCGCTAACATATATCGTCCGTTTTGACTCGTTACATATCTTCGTCAGTCTCACGGTTTTAAAACGCATCTGATGGGGAGAGGTTTCCTCGCCCTTATATATAAAAAAAAAAAATTGTTCTTCTCTCGAATCAAGATGAAATCTTACATTAACGTAACATGTAAGGTAGATAAGTATAATTTTTTTAAATAATAATTAAAAAAAAAAAAAAAAAGACCAGTTTCCACACACACGTTTGCACGTAAAATTAAAAATAAATATTAAAGTAAAATAAAAGCAGTCCCAAAATGAGTTCATAGATATGGCTGCACCATGACGACAACTCTATTACCATCCACCCCCTCACTTTTCTTGTCTTTATTCCCATTCCCCAACATCCTATCCTAATTGCCTTTTGCCCCCTTTTCTTTTTTAAATTACACATAAATCCCTTTTCCTTTTCTCTTTATTACGGAGGCGTCGCCGACCAATTGCCCTTTAACAATTACGAATCTCAAACCGAATTTATCTTCAAATTGAGGGACCGCTGTTGCGTTGGCGGTGACGATAAAATCAATTTACAACTTTGACGTGGCGACATCTTGTTGGTGACCGCATATAGTGGCAGTGACGGACGGTGATGGATTATTGTTCTGCTGAGTTGGATTTTGTCATTCGTCGTTTTGATACAACGCCGTTATGCCGTCATCGTTACCGCGTTAGACCACTGTAACGTTACCCTACACCACGAACCACCCAATTCCTACTCCTAGGAAATCTGTACGAACCTTCGAAAATTCGACGTCAATAATTAAAAGAATTCCTCGGAAAATTAAAAAAATATATATAAATTTTAAAACGAAATTGCATGCTGCTTCTTCGCAGATCCCTAGGTGACTTTAACGTTCTTTTTTTTTTTTTTAATTAAATGCTCCAAATTCAGTGCTTAATTTCCAAAATGCCATTCTGTAGAAACCGTGTCAAGCCCCTGGTTTCGTCGCTTTCACCCATCCCCCAACTCCCCATCCGCCGTCGATTAATGTTTGAGACTTAATACGATGCCGTTTTGCTTTTCCCCGTCGGATTAGGTATTTCTAATTATTATTTCTTGTCTCTATTTTTTTTTGTTTTCTAAAATAAATACAAATTCTTGGAAATTATTCTCTATTTTTCTACACTAAACGACAAAATCTAGGTTTATTTTTTTCCAATATTAATTTATTAAATGATATTTAACCCATTTATTAAAACAAAAAACTCAACTTCTTTCTGTATTGTCTAATTAAAGTCAAATTCAACAAAGCCTTTGAGTCCATATTCAAACCACACGAGCTTTATACTTTGAAGTCCACGGAAAAAATAAAAAATAAAAAATAAAAAAGACTTCGAGTTAAATAATTCGATTAAAATCTTTTTAAAAATTAATTCAATTAAATTATAATCCTATTGTCTTGATAATTAATTAATTTAATTAATTAAACGGCGTAGTTTTTGGAGGTTCGTTGAAATTAAGGTACATTTTTACGAAATGGATAGTACAAGTGACGATAACTTTATGAAATCAGTGGGCACTGAAATTCCAATCTCTGACCAAACAACTTTGACCAAAGTTTTGCCTTATTTATTTATTTATTTATTTTTACTTATTTTTCCATGAATCATATCCCAAATCTGACGGTCTGGAATTAAACAATCTGCTGTGATTTCATGATTTAAATCTCCACCTTTTAATTCGTTAATTATTATGGGTATAACTTAAATTCAGATAAACATTGCATTAAATTAAATCATAATTGAATTAATTAGCTAATCCATGTGATTTTTTTAAAAAATAATTCTTTAAATTTGACTAAAATTCACGATTTTCAAGCCTCACCTCATTAATATGAATATATGCAAATACATGCATAACATGTGTGGTTACATTTAGTACATTATATAATTTGTTATTCCAAAAGGAATAATCCCATTTTCTTCATAATATTGACAAACTTTCAATGAAATTATAACCATTCACATCAAATTTTGATGCTCAATTTAATGCCATCATAGACATTAGAGTATAGCCAGTAGAATATCAGGCTAGCGTTTCTATCTCTGCAAAAATATCCTATTATTTTTGCAAGGATTCTATAATAATTCAGGCCCACCGCTACTAGATATTGTCTTCTTTGGAGTTTCCCTTTCGAGCTTCCCCTCAAAGTTTTAAAGCACGTCTACTAGGGGAAGGTTTCCACACTCTTATAAATGGTGGCTTGTTATCCTCCCCAACCAATGTGGGACATCACAATCCACCCTCCTTCAGTCAGCGACCTCGCTAACACTCTTTCTTTCCTCCAATCAAAGTGGAACCGCCCCCAAATCTACTCCCTTTTAAGTTCGAAAGGGAGAGCCCAAAAAATACAATATCTGCTAGTAATGGATCTGGAGTGTTACAAATTCTTTGCGAATAATTTTTCTATATTTATTATTTGAAAAAAAAAATTATTTTACGGTCTTAAAAAAGATGGATAAAAAAATTATAAGCAATATATATTTATACACAACTTAATTTCTAAAAATTTTAATACTACGACATAACAGAGTATTTAA